CATTATCAGAATGCCCAACGGCCGCATTTGCGTCTTTTGCAAGGGTGCCGATAACGTCATTACTTCGCGACTCAAATTGAGTCATTTGGCTGAACAAAAGACAAAGGACATTAGCCGACGGGCTAGTGTGCGCAAGACATTTGAACAGGACAAGGTCCGAACGCGAATGAGCATGGCCAGTGGAAGGGGTACGCCGAGAACGAGTTTCGCCTTGAAGCGAGGTGAGTCGATCGATCGGTTGGAGGGGCTTCGACGCAGCATTGGTAGACTGTCGACCGATGTCAACAGACTTTCCTACTCGGAGGGCGTTGGCTCCTGGATGGCTAGGCGACAAGCCGAGGATCTGGGAACACCTCGAGGTTCGCTGGATGTGTTGCGTGCCGGACGACCGAGTCTGAGCATAGTGCCGTCGGTTGAGGACGTGGACTTTCGAATTGACGAGTCCGTTGCCAGCAACGAGGCGGCTGTTTTCGAGCATTGCTTCCAGCATGTCGAAGATTTTGCGACGGAGGGTTTACGAACATTGTTGTACGCGTATCGGTACATCGAGGAGGATGCTTACGCCCCTTGGAAGCAATTGTACCGCGAGGCAGAGACTAGTCTTGTCAACCGCCAGGAGCTGATTGAACAGGCTGGCGAGATGATTGAGCAGAATTTTGAGCTTGCTGGCGCCACTGCCATTGAAGACAAATTGCAAGACGGGGTGCCCGAGACGATTGACAAGCTCCGACGAGCCAATATCAAAGTCTGGATGCTGACGGGCGACAAGCGCGAGACAGCCATTAATATTGGCCACTCAGCCCGCGTGTGCAAGCCGTTTTCCGAAATCTACATCCTCGACGGCAGCAGGGGCAACCTCCAAGACACCATGACTTCCACCCTCAACGACGTCTGCCGCGGCATGGTGCCGCACTCGGTCGTCGTGGTCGACGGCCAAACACTGGCCACCATCGACGCGTCCGACGACCTCGCCGTCCTCTTTTACGACCTCCTCCTCCGCGTCGACTCAGTCATCTGCTGCCGCGCCTCACCTTCCCAAAAGGCTCAACTCGTCACCTCGATCCGCCGCTTCGTCCCATCCTCGATGACCCTCGCCATCGGTGACGGCGCCAACGACATTGGCATGATCCAATCCTCCCATGTCGGCATTGGCATATCGGGCCGCGAAGGTCTCCAAGCCTCACGTATATCCGATTACTCCATCGCCCAGTTCCGCTTCCTCCAGCAGCTCCTGTTCGTCCACGGCCGCTGGAACTACCTCCGCACGGGAAAATACGTCCTCGCCACCTTTTGGAAAGAAATCCTCTTCTTCTTGGTCCAGGCGCACTTCCAGCGGTTCAATGGATACTCGGGCACCTCGCTCTTTGAGTCGTGGAGTCTAACTGTATTTAATAGCCTGTTCACTTCACTGCCTGTAATCTTATTAGGCATCTTTGAAAAGGACCTCAGCGCGGAGACGCTGCTCGCTGTGCCGGAGCTGTACACGTTTGGACAGCAGAACAGGGGGTTTAACATTCGGCAGTATTTTGGCTGGATGCTCATGGGAGTCGCGGGCAGCTTTGTCATTTACTACTTGACGCTCGGCGAGTTTTGGAGTGCACTTTTCACGGCGGACACTAGCCTTTACGCCATGGGGGCGGTGTGTTTTACGGTTGGCGTTATTTTTATTAACATTAAGCTATTGTTAGTCTCTCTCCCCTCTCTCTCCTTTTTTGTTTGCTTGTTTAGAGAACCACCTGACATGGGCAACGAAACAACTAACCAACGCGACGGCAGAATCCTCGAGCTACACTCCAAAACGGTCATCACCTTTGGTGGCTTCATCATCTCCATTGCTGGCTGGTTCCTCTGGTGTCTGTTCCTGTCGGGCATGTATCCCCAAAACGTGGGCAAGGACATGGTCCGCCGTGGCTTCCTCGACAATTTTGGCCGCCAGCTTTCGTGGTGGACGACGCTGCTCGTGGCGCTCGCTACGCTAGTCATCATGGACCTGGTGGTCCAGGGCGTACGGAGGGTGTACTGGCCGACGGACCAGGATCTCATGCAGCGCATTGAAAAGGACGCAGGTGCGAGGCAGGCTCTGCGCGAACATGCGGCTTTGCAGGAAGCGGGCGTCGAGGAGGAGGATGTCGAGATGCAGGACTTGATTATGCGCCGAGGGCGGGGGAGCGTGGCTATCGAGGGTGGGCAAGAAGGCACACGCTGAGTGTGGATTGCATATCCATGGAGCGAAGAAGGTTCTGCTTTTTTTTTTTTTTTGGGACCGCTGGTTAGGGCGGGAGGGAGTACTGTCTGGGTGCTGGCGTGTTTGGGGCTTGATACCAGGTATATATGGCATTGGCGTTTTTGGTATAGGTGCCGAGAATTGATTTGGATATGTTATTTCAATTGATGGGCCAGATTCTTTCTAGATTGAGTGCGTGAAGCGTTGGGCCGAAGCATGTGCCGGGAAATTGGCAAGTTCCTGGGCTGTGATGACGGTGAGGATATATATCCACGATTTGGCAACTCGACGGTCCATGACAGCCGGCGCCCACGGATGGGGTATTTTGCTCTTTCTACCGACGTCCTTTCACTATGAGACTGTTGCCTGCTACGCCTCGTTCGGTGGGCAAAAGGCTACTACTACTACGTATAGAGGTGGCTCGTCTCTCGTGGGTTTATGGCCCTCCTCCAGTTGCTGGTGACACTCGTGGTTGCGTTTAGACCCAGGCGTTCCGAAACTAGACACTTCCTCTCGTATAGTCGCCTGTTACATTGAAGTAGATTGACGACGACAGTGCTCATTCGTTTTGATCTCTCTATAACGCCCTTGGCAGTTTGTTTCGTACCTCTGCGTCGTCCATGTCAACCATGACGCCGCGATTTCTATCGACTTTATTACTGTATCGCCAGATGCCATGGAGATATATTGTGCGGCGGGCTCTTGCGACTCGCCCTTCTTTTCTTGCTCAATTTACTATTACCACGCTCGAAATTGTTCCACACGGTGTGGCTGTAGCGTGTTGGCTTCATTGAGGATAATTTTTCGGCGCTCTGAGCCCCAAATGACTAATTGAGGTCATGAACTAACTGTCTACTTAGGTTGAGTTACTATTGGAGTAGTAATTACTGTTGCGTGCCCATTCTGATATTAGTGACTTGGTTAACACGAAGCGAATATGACCCTAACCCTAATGATTTATACAGAATCTTACTTTTATAGCAAGAAATGGGAACAAGTGGTGCTTATTGTTGCCTGATAACATACATATTTGAGAAATAATCTTGCCGTCGCCACAAACTGCCACACGGTTACACGAGGGCTACGTCACGAGACCTAGGGCAAAGGCTCTCACCGACTTTTTGTATAAAAAGCTCTTTGGTCATCTAGGCCTTGAGGAAAACTAAGGACCTTTGATCCAAAGACTGTTATTAGATGAATTGAGCCATGACTCCAAGCCCTCGCTGAGCCCTTGTCACATAAACCACGTCATTGCGTCTCAGATGGACTTCTTTCAGCTCTGAATAAGTACCCACAGCAAAGATGCTTCCGTTAGCGCGTAATTTGCAGCCTGTTTTCCAAGAGTTTGTCTGTGACAGAAGCTTCTCACACGGCTTCAGAGTGTTGTAAGTGATTAGTGTTCCCCAAGTAACTAGGCAATATACCTGACGACACTTGGGCAGTGTCTTCACCAAGGCCCCCGCATATAGGTACTATTTGAAGCTGGGGATGTGCAAAATAATCTGTAGATTACCCAAGGACAGGATGTTACCCCGCCAAATGTCTGAGTGTTGCGTTGGCATGGCTGTGTTTTACACCACGGGGCGGTTTGTATTGATGCCCAAGACTGTGGGCTAAATTTGTAGACACTCTTTGCTCCTTTCCTAGCTGTGCTGGCGAAAAAATTCAATTTTTTTTTGAACACAATTTGTAATATGTACGACCGACCTCACGGTGTTAATTTCATTGGGCCCTACCTCATGCAGAATATGGGATAGATTGAGAAACAGAAAAACTTGATAACAATTTGTATTATAGCAAATAAGAGCGAATTAGAAGCAGCATATTGTACACCAGAATATGGATAGGTGTGGCTCGAGTTCACCAAATACTATAACAAGTACTGATTTGAGATGGCAAAGAGCAATGCTTTGCTCGTATTGTAACCTCTTCATCTTTATAGTGGAGGCCAGTAAGTACTTACTTGGCTGGTGGCGTAGAGTGATTTGGGGCTGGGCAAATAATAACATCTCTGACTTATATATCCACTTTACCAAGATGTTGCATCTTTACGTTGCTTATTTCACTGGAGGGCAATTATTCTTTAAAAGAAGTGTGCTCCCAGATGTAAATCAGGTCCATAGTGCATACACGCCTTGGCAAAGTGTCAAGGTCATGCAAGGGGGGTATAATTGCTTCGCAATAAGAGAATGTTCTTTGTTGTGGCACAAACACAAGAGCTGCATCGAATCACCTTTCCAAAAGCCCTGCGAGCATGTCTACACCGCAAGTGTCTCAGAGTCTCAGACTGCGGCATGGTTGCCACCCTATAAAGCTGTACGCCACTTACCCCAATGTCTCTTCCGCCTCATGATGTATGATGTAAAGGATTTCATTCCGTGTAGTGTTTCATCCAAATGCGGGTTTTATTAGTGTGACCAAGTACTCCTGTCTGCTTGCGTCCGGCCGTAGCCATTCACTCAACGGGGCATGTATGAATGGATGGCGGAATGGCATGCTGAAAGCGTCAACCGCAACCATACTTGCATTACTCCCCTCCCCCCCCGAGACCGGGCCTCGAACACACAAAAACGGCCATGGATACGGAATGCGTCGTCACGGATGCGGGGAAATAAGCTTCTGGTTGGGCTGGATTCTACAAATTCGCCATGCTTCCGCTTGGCACGGTTTACTTGTGCAACTGAATTCGCAAGTTCGACTCAAATATTAAGACATTCAGACTCCTTGTTCAAGCCGCCATTTTAAAATACTTTGTTGATCGGTTAGCCAACCCAAAATGCCTGCTGAAATCAACGACATTGCTATGCGCGCCTCGGTGGCTGCCGTCAGCAAAGGGTCCAGCATCCGCGTTTATGAGTCGGATGTATTTGGTGGAATCCGGGAGGCGATGTTTGAGGGCAAATGGACCGGCGGCAGCCGCCGCCACGGCATCCCCCAGAGCAAGAA